GATTGCCGGAGCCCAGCAGGTCGAGGCTGCAGTGGCCGGGAGCGGCCACTGCACTCCAGCCTGAGTGACAGAGTGAGACTCCGACTCAAATAAATAAATAAACCCAAAAACTCAGGCCTGGTGACAGGAGACCGCCCCTCTTGTCACCACCTGGGGGACGCTGGGCAGGTGCCTCCCGCATCTCCCCTTTCTCATCCGTGAAGTGCAGGCGATGACCCCGTCAGACAGGCAGAGCCAGAAAGCTCTCGGGAAACGCAGAAGGGGGGGAGAGCTGCTGGCGCTCATCACCCCAGTGTCCAGCGAAACCCAGGCCTGTGCCCCGAGCCCTGCACCCCAGCCCTACCTCTAACAGGCCATGGGGCCTTGGCCAGGTCCAGTCTCCTCTGACTCAGGCTCCTCTCTGCAACACGGGCAGCGGCGGTCAGCTCTGACCCTGTCCAATCTCTCTCCCGCCCTCTTCTCTGAAGTGTCTCCTTCCTGGTCAACTCCTTAGCCGACAAGGTCATGAGCCTCCTGGCGCCAGCCCTGCCCAAGCTGGTGAAGAGCCAGGTGAGTGACCCGCACCGCTCCAGCCTTAAGGATGGCGTCCCCCGTGGGGCCGGGTGGAACTGCAAGCTGGTGTGAAGGGCAGTCTCCTGGGTGGGATGCCTCCAGACTGATGACTCTTCCAGCAAAGCCAGGAGCCATGGAGGGGCCCCGGCCCAGGCAGGGGGCTGAGGTCGAGGCATCAGGACTGCCAAGAGTCAACTGGAAGGTCTTGAATAGCGAGGCGTTAACAGGTGCCTCTGGAGGCTGGGCCTGCCTTGCAGCTTTCGCTGAGTCCCCCGGTGTGAATACTCTCTTGGGCCACCTGGAGGCTGGGTGTGATGCCCCTGAACAGAGCTGGGGAGAGGTACAGGTGTCCCGTTGCCAGCATTCCCCCGGCAGACAGCACACGGCCTCAGGAGCCGCAGACGGGCGTAAAACACAGCACAGCCCTTAAGGGTGGCGAGGTTTGGGTCTTAGTATACTCGCTGTTAATGTCTTTTATTGTAGTTTATGCATTTAATTTTGAACGATGTCTGAGTTTAGCACCCAGCTCGGAAACACCTGTATTTTTAGCCTTTGGTTCTTGAAAACCAGCACAGCTGGTTCCCACATGCCACTTACCACACCACCCGGACTGTGCCACCTCCAGGTCCCACTGGGGGTTTTCTGAGTTAGTAAATGCAGGGAATCTCACTTTACATGGCCCCATGTGTCACAGGTGAACCACAGCTTTCTGGGTTGAATCATCCATACTGACCAGTGATTTTCACCGAAAATTCCAAAATGTACTCACAACAGTGGGCCAGAGCGCTTCGCCAAGTAGCTCCCGTTTCTTGGAATAAGACTTGTTGGCCGGACATGGTCGCTTATTCCTGTAACCCAAATGCTTGGGGAGGCTGAGATGGGAGGACTGAGGCCAGGAGTCTGAGACCTCGTCTCTACAAAAAATTTAAAGAGCAGCCGAGTGCTGTGGTGCTCACCTGTCAGCCACTCGGGAGGCTGAAGCCCAAAAGTTCGAGGCTGTGGTGAGCCATGACTGTGCCACTGCCCTCCGGCCTGGGTCACAGAGCTGAAATGGGCTACTTCAGGGCAGAAAAGAACAAGGCTTTTGGGTCTTACGGACAGTAAGTCCAATGTGGACCCTCCTCCCTGAGCAGAACGGCCAAGGCCGGGGTTAGGTCACGCCAGGGTTCTCAGCCTTGGCACCACTGGCATTTTGGACCAGATCATTCTTTGTTGGGAGCTAGCTGTCCTGGCCTCTGTCCACTAGACGCCGGGAACAACCTCATCTCCCCACGTTGTGGCAGCTAAAGAGGCCTCCAAAAACTTCCACACGTCTCCTGG